TGTTGATAATTGAAATTTACTAATATCTAATGAACATCCTACCTCAGTCCCCCAAATTGTAAATGCAGTATTTGATTTGCCAGGACTTTGAAATTACCAGAGGCTGCCAGAAGGTACTTTGTTCCTATATCACTTCAAATGTAAATTTCCTCTATGCATGACAACCTGTTCCATTAAAACTAAAATACTGAAATTTGGATTTACACTATAAAGAAGCTATAGGCTTTACTCTGACTTCTTCCTCTAGGAGGCCCCCAAATAATTAAACTCTGGATAATTAAAGTTCTTTCTTTTATCAGCATTGCAGAAATGAGTTATTTAGTTGGGACTCTATAGGTTTTCCAGCTTCTATACTCATAGCTTCTTTATTGTAAGTTAACTGTCTGAATGTCTTTAGGGTTTCTTTCTGGGCTCTCAGTTTTATTTCTTTGGTCCATGTGGGTGCTTTGATTCCATTACCACACTGTGGGAATTAATAGAGCTTGTTAAATAGCCTGGTTAAAAGTAAGAGAATATGTTGTCTCCTTTTTTTTCTCAGGGTTGCTCTGGCTATTTGAGTTTTATGGTCCCATCCTCGACAGATACCCTTTACCCCAGATGTCTAAACCTCAGATTCTTATGTTCCACCAGAGAGGAGAGAGCTTTTGTTTATTAACCTCTGAGTCACATGAGCTGTTGCCCTGTGTGGGCCTGTTACTCCATAAGTCGCGGAAGACAGTTTGCCAATATGTATATGATGTGATGTTGACTGCATCACACAGATAAGACAAGGTAGAAATTCCCAAGAGTATCAACACTGAGATGATGGCTGTGGTTCCATCTGAAAAGGGATTACAGCCACGTGATTGAGGTTCTTCAGAGATGGTTCTGTACAGGAATATGTGAGACCATCCCTCCTAGGCGTCCATGATATTTCTGAGACACAAATGGCATGTATTTTTACACTGTGCGTACTTTATTTCATTACATGGGGTGGCTCATATAATTCATTTTTATACGAATCACAATTGCAAAATTTCTTAACATTGTCTTGGCAGGTGGTGTGGTGCTGATTAAACAACACCATGTTGCCCCCACACTGAGAGATGGGGGTTCTGCTCCCGGTACAGAGATAACCAAGTGGGATAAAAGGAAGAGGAAGTAAATGAAAGAAAAATAAGGACACAGGTCATCTTTAAGCTAACAGTCTGATCCGGTAAGTGAGCACTCTTCTGTATTTTTTTTTTTTTTTTTGTAAACCCAGTGGTGCTCGGGCTTACTCTTGGCTCTGTGCTCAAATATCATCACTATTGCCAGTGCTTGAGGGAACATATGTGGTTCCAGAGATTAAATAGGGATTGGCTGTGTCACAGACTATCTCTCTGACCCAAACATTCTTTTTTTTTTTGCTTTTTGGGTCACACCTGGTAATGCACAGGGGTTACTCCTGGCTCATGCACTCAGGAATTACTCCTGCCGGTGCTCGGGGGACCATATGGGATGCTGGGAATCGAACCCGAGTCGGCCGGCCGTGTGCAAGGCATATGCCCTACCCACTGTGCTATCACTCCAGCCCCAACATTCTTTTTTTTTAAAAAAAAAGTTTTATTTAATTAAAGAGCCTTGATTTACAGGACTGGAGCAACATTGCCGACACAGGTTCGATTCACACAGGTATGACCCAAAAAGCAAAAAAAAAAAAAAAAAAAAGAGCCTTGATTTACAAAGCTATTGATAGTTGAGTCAGATGCAAATAATAGCTGAGTCTTAGGCACCAGTGTCAACTTTTGTGTTCCCATAATTTGCGCACCCCCACCCCCACCCCAGTTCATCCCCTGCCTGCCACCTTGATAGGCACATTTCAGATTTTGGGGTCATAGTTTAGATCTCATATTTTCAGGGTTGTTTACTCAGTAAACTTAGAATCTGACCCAGTAATTCTACTTTGCGGGATCTACCCCCAAGACCAAAAAAAAAAAAAAAAAAAAACAGAAAACAACCCAAGAAACCATTCAGGAGCTGGAATGATAGTACAGCAGATAGGGCTTTCATTCAGTGAACCTGGATCTCGTCCACAGCATTCCCCAACCACTGCCAAGATTGATCTCTTGAGTACAGAGCCAAGTGTAAGCTCTGAGAATAGCTAGGTGTAGCCCAAAAACAGTCACAAACAAACCAAAAAACATTCATTCAGAAAGACATGCACACCATTATTCATTGCAGCACTTTGTATAATAGGTAAGAATTGGAATCAACCTAGGTGCCCAAAAACAGATGAATATATTGGGAAGAAGTGGTATATGTACACAACAGAATATTTATGTATGCAGCTGCAAAGAATGATGAAATCACACAATTTGCTGCAACCTGGGTAGAACTACAAGATAATATGTTTCATCATTGGGAACGGCAGTGTGTGTGAGTTTATTTCAGGAAGTCTGAGGTAGGTAAAAACCCAAAGGTATGTTCATGACATATAGACAGTGGACAATGCTGTACTTTTCTGAAATGTTAAGTCACTGTAGAAGAAGTGAGTCCTTGAGGCCTGATGTTCCTGCCACCCACTGACTTTGGTGGCTTTGATTCTGCCCTCTCTCTTTTCAGAGGATTCAGCACATCTGTGGTGTCAAAGAAGCAATTTGATTACTTTCAGCTCTTAGAGAGTGAAAACAGTCTTTTGGAGAGTCAGACTTGGGACCATCTGCCCCCAAAAGTCAAGCTGGTGATCTTCCTTGAGTTAACAAGGCTAATAATATGTGCTTCTTCTTTCTAAGCATAGGGTGGAGGGAGAGGGCTTTTGTGGGTAACAGGTTGGCATTTCTGTGACAATACTGCCATCAAGCGGAGCAGTTTTTGGCAATTCGTTGTCACTTGCAGGGAGGAATGACTAGGGTAAGGGTGGAAATCTGCATTTCCCCAGGGGAGTCCAGAGCTCCGCTGAGTTATGAAGTGGATGATGAGGAAACTTTAGCCAAGATTAGATCGGGAGCTCCAAGGACTGAAACCTGGCCAGGAAGTCTGCCCCTGTGCCTGTTAAACCTGCCAAAGTGAATCAGGGCCACAGACTCTGGAGCCCGCCATGTCTGGGTGGGGCTATGGAAATGTCACTTAAGAAGAACCAAAAGGGTATAGGGGGTGAGGGTGGGGGGTTGGCGATGGAGGTCTGCTGGAATCACGTTATCTGGGAACTAATCCTAAAGGAACCTAGGTGTCTGGAAACCCTTTATGGCATCAACAAGCCCCCAGCACAGTGAATGGGTACAGGGCAGCGTCTACTGACATTAGTTGCCAAAGTGCTTGATGGGCAGAGTAAAGATCTAGCCCATAGGTAGGACACTTTATCTTACAAGTGTGAAGCTCTGGGGTTGGTTTCTAGCACCAGACATACAGAAGAAGCTGGCCCTCAGGCTTGGCTGGGTGCCTTGAAAAGATCTTTCAGCACCTTCCTGAATATGGCTGATTCCGAGGCCACGCCTACAGCATCTGAGTGCAGAAAGTTGTGATCTAAGGACTCCTTGATGGGCAATCTTGTCTCACAATGCTGCTAGCACTTTGAGTCTGGCAATGCCAGGTGACTGGGCTAGCCCTCCAAAGCCTGGCCCCCTCCAACCCACTGCTCCTAGCTTTCCTCACTGGCAATCTGATCCTCTGGCCCTACTAGACACCATGCTCAAAAAGTTTCCAGTTGATGACACTATTGCTGCAGAAATGTCACCATCCTAGCACGATGCTTCCTCCGCCCTTCCTGAATTTAAACAAAACAAAACAAAACAAAACAAAACACTGGGAGGTTCAAAAACCATTCAGTCTATTGACATTGGGGTTTATTAGGAGTAGCTTTGTATTGATAATTACATTCAAAGGAATAGATTAATCCATGTCTGTGCCCTGGTCTAGTAGTTTGAATTTCAGAGGCACTGTAGTGTTCTGGTTTTCTGTGCACCCTTCTGGATTTATATTTATTCCTGTCTTCTTGACTAGCATCCTAGCTATCCTGGGATCTTGACTAATATCTAGAATCATTAGGAATACCTGAATTTTGCCTCTTTTCCTAGCACCATTGCTTCTCTTCTGAATTAATCCACCTACCTTAGCCAGATGGGGTTCAGGAGCTGGCCCTTAAGAAAGTTGTGGAAATAGAAAGAACTACGAATGGACTTGCTCAGGGAAAAGATAGAAGGGGAATTGCAATGGACCTGGAGTAAGTCCTGATGTCTCAAGAAGTCTAGCATTCTGGGACTGAAGAGATAATAGAGTGGGTAAGGTGCTTGCCTTACACATGGCATAGCTCACCCGGTTTTGATCCCTGGCATCTGATACGTCCCCCAAGCACCACCAGGCATAATTCCTGAATGCAGAGCCAGGAGTAACCCCTGAATACAGCTGGTGTGCCCCACCCTCAAAAGAAGTCTAACATTCTTTGTAAGCCCAACTTTGGTTCTGTGATTGTGGTAGGGATAATATTGACAAGGATGGTGTCTGGGATAGGGGACTCCATGCATAATTTGATGCCAACCTTCCTTCTGGGAAATTATACATGTGAATTTCTCTATAATTCACCTTCCAGCATTCCATGGGTTCATTCGTTCCTCCATAAGAACATACAGGAAAGAATATGTATTAGCATATATGCAAATACTTATTATATATCTTCACATAGATAGTATTAATATTGCATCTATAAATTTTTCTTCTCTACTTCTCCCTTGGAGAAAGCAAAATTTCTTTCTGTTCCAGGATGAGTGCTTCCAGGTGGTTCCCCTTCCTGGTTCAAACACCTATACTTGTAGAAGGAACCTCACCTGTTCTCTTTCTGTTTGTTTCCGGGTTGAATATAGAAGAAAGTCAGTCACATTGTGTCTTCTGTGCTGCTTCAGTTCACTGAAGCAGCTTTGTGGCTTTCCTCTGTGACTTTCCTCCTAATAACACACTTTGACTTTGTAGGGTTGTCCTGACTTGCTGAAGAAATCTACAGCCCTCCTATCATCAACCTTTGGGCTACACAATTAGAGTAACCAAAGTTAAAGCGTACTTGACTAGGGTATGTTTTCCAGCCATGGTTTCCATTCAAGTAACTGTGAGTAAGTCGAAACTTGGCTAACAGTCAATGATAGCTGGTTGGTGAGTATCTGGTGTTTTTTAGTTTGTTGTAGGACATTGACTTGCCAAGGCTCTGTCAAGTTATCTGCCCTAACTAATCAAGCAAGTCCATGTGGAAATCTCTGTGAATCTCAACTCCAACGTCATAGCTGTGGATCCCAAGAAAAAATATTGTAGAGAAAATATATTCACTTTCCCCCTGAGTTGCTTCTGTTAGTACTGCTTTTATTTCACATCCCTCACTGACATCTGATAGGTGAGTCATGTTGCTTCCAGCAGTGTTACTTTTCATCAGATTTGGGGGTTAAGCCCAGAGCTGGTATTATTGTAAAATGCAAAGAATCTTTTAAATTTTTTTTATTGAATCACCATGAGATAGAGCATTAAAAAATTGTTCATGTTTGCATTTTAGTCATACAGTGTTCCATCACCCATCCCTCCACCAGTGTCCCAAGGTTCCCTCACACCCCTTCAAGTCACCCCCCCACCCCAGCCTGCCTCTCCCTCTCCCTCTCCCTCTCCCTCTCCCTCCCTTTTCATCCCTTCCTCCCTTTCTCCTTCTCTCCCTCCCCATTCCTCCCACCCTCTCCCTGTCTCCCTCTCCCTCCCCATCCTCCCATTATGGTTAATGAAAAGACTCTTTTGTCCTTACTTCCATTCCCTTTGTTCTTGTTTTCCATTGTGCTCATTGTTCTTCTTAGTCTTGGTCTTATTGTCCTGAGGAGAGGGAGTCAAACACACACTTGGTTGTGACACTTACCAGAGATTAGCACTATAGCAATGTCCTCCCACTGTTCATCAGTTTGCTCAAGCAGGCACCAGTTTAGAAGCAAGGCACAGTCCCATCACCCTCAAGGGGACGGGATTATGTATGGTCATGAATACCAGACACTGGATTATTGGGTTGTCTGATTCTCCTGAATATATGCTTACATATACTTCTTTCAAAATTCATTGGTTTCACTTAACTATGAAATGCCATTACTTGCTTAAATACTCAGTATTTGTGCAATAAGATTTAAAGTATTATCAGATATGAAACTGTGTTTTCCACATACAATTACCTTAGGATTGTAAGTTAGAATAATTTTATTGTAGAAAATAAAATGTGTCCAAATAGCACAGGAAATATTGCAACTTACAGCATTTGATATTTTTAAACTGTATATTATATATTTTAGACCTCACCAGAACTTGTTATATTGTTATGTTTGTTACTATGTCCTTTGAAGAAGTTAATATAATTTGTATAATACCTTTTTTTTAAGTTTTTTGCTATGGGGGGATATTTTTAAAATAAAAAGTTTTATCCACTAAAAAAAAGAAAAGAAAAAAGAAATCTCCCATATGGTCCTGGTCCTGATGGGGCACACATGTTAGTTCCAGTGATTGCACACACCTAGCTGTGATGTGCAGGAAGTGACACATTCTGTGTGTCATCCGGGGGTCCTAAGTAGCAGCTCTTGACTGCCCATTTACAAGTCAGGATCTTTTTGCCACCTCTCCATCCTCAGAGACTCTTAAGTTTGCTTGGTAAGGGTAGGGGACTTTGACTAGCGTATGCTGTGTGTTCCCTCACTGAGTGAAGGGCTTTCTGCTTTTCTATTGCAGAGGTTAAGGAAAGACTGAGAAAGAAAACCAGGATGTTCCTCATCTCTACTTGATCATAATCTGAGCAAGTAAGTGCTCTTACTTTCTTTTTTCCCCAAATGGTTGTATTTTATCACTATAAAAGGGCAGTTTTACAGGAGAGTTTCATGTAGAGGGAGAGTGGCTTTCAATGCTGGGATTTTCTACCATGATAAGAAAGTTTTCTCCATCACTCCTGTCTCTAGAGCCAAAAATAAGGAGCTGTAAATGACTTCCATGGACATCTGTGTATAGTAGAAGGGAATTGGTACATGGATTCAACATCATTGTTACATAGAACCAGGGAGAGTAGAAACAGATTGGCCCAGGGTTTGGGTTTGGACTTGAACCTGTTTGGGGCCCTGACCCCTATGAAATTATCTACCATTGAACTCCTTTTCTCTCTCACTTAAATCTCCATGTGGGTAGAGGTACTTAGTGAACCAGGCATTTAAAGCTTTTTGTCTTGTTTGTTTAAGTGGAGACTTTAGTACCTGTGCTTTCCCCTGGTCTCCTAATTGCTCTTGATCCTAGCTCACTGCATATGACCCTCCGCCAAACCTTGGAGGACTTGGGGGACATAATCTTACTAGAATACCAAATATGTGGGGGTTGTATTGCTGGGTATTTGTGCATAGGTGGGGTTCACCTAAGACTGCTTGATATTCCACTGTGCTCCCATACCCAGTGATGTTCAGTGCTTATTCCTGACTGTGTTCAGGGATCACTCCTGGAGGGACTTGGTGGACCATATGGGGTGTTGGACATTGAACTTGGATTGGCCTTGTGCAAGGCAAGTGCACAACCATACTATTGCTTACCCCACCCCCATGTCCCGCCTTTTCTGTCTTTCCAGAAAGTAGGGAACTTGAAAGTTTGAAGACTTAAGGAAGTGTACTTTAAGGCTGGAGTAAAGTGTACTTTGCTTGTACTGTGTAGAAATTTAGTATGAGTGTGAGTAGCCCATGTGTGTATGTGTTGTGTGTGTTAGGTATTATCTCTTGAAGTCAACTTCCATGGCTAGGATGCTGCAAACCCTAGCTCAAATTCTAGAAAGGTTTTAAGATGGACTGTATGGTTTAGTACTTTAGCAGTGTCCAACAGTTATGACAAGAGTTTATTAGCAAAGGACTGAGGCTTAATGGTGATCCCCTTGTATTAGCAAATTTGTACCTGTTTTTCCTAAAGGAATGGCTGTGGGACAAGTCTTGGGGGATGGAAGGTAAGCATAGCTTTTTATTTCTGTGACCATACTGCCATCAAGCGGAATAGTTTTGTCGTTCCAATGGCACGTCCTGGGAGGAAAGACTGGGAAATGTAGCCCCTGCGAAAGGAAAGTCCCGTGGGCAAGTCTGGAGCTCCTCTGGTTTATCTAGTGGTTAGTGAAGAAACTTTAGCCAAGGCCAGATAGGGCCCAGCTGAGAGATCCAATCTCCCAGCGCCTTGAGTGTCCTGGAAAGGGAGCCTTGTTCAGGACTGTGGAGGCCGCCATGTTGTGGGCAGGATTATGGGCTCTCCCTGGGAGGAGCACCCAGCAGCTGGCTTGGCTGGGGTCTGCTGGCACACCTTCCTCTTTGAGCCACTGCAGTCTGAAAGCACTGCAAAGCCCAGCAGCTCAGAACGCTCTGGAATACACTGAGCTCCACTGGTACTTTGACAGACTAGCCGCAGACTTGGCTACGTTGCTGGGCAGGGGATCTGCTCATGGATCATCCACTTACTTCTGTGTCCCAGATTGTCCTTGGATCCTGTTTCTGCCCAGTGGGGAGATATTTGACTAGCCTTTTGAGTAAAGCTTCAGGCTTTTTGTCAGTCTGGTTGCTTCCACTGGCCACACCCTCTCCAACATTGGGTCTGAAACATCTGTGTTACAGTGCTCCTTTGGGTGATCTAGCCTTAATATGGGTCATGTGCCTTTCGTATAGTCAGTAGAGATGCTCAGTGGCTGGGACTAGCCCAGGAATCTGCAGTGGCCCCCAATGAACAGCTAAACCTGTGGATCCACAGGCCTCAGCGGAACCCATATTCAAAAAACTTCTACTTTTGATGTCACTGTTTTTCTAGAAATATCAACTTTCTCTTGCTCCTAAACTCTCCCACTGTTCTTTGAGAATCAAAAACCGCCCAGAGAGTCCCCCAAATCATTAAAACTTCTAGTGGTAGATCCTCTTTGCAGTTTATTGTCTTCTTTGTGGGTTGGAAATGTAAAGATATTGACTTCAGGAAGTATGAAGAAAGGTCTGAGTATGTTACAGAATTTTAAATTCTCTTGCTTTGAATGTGGACTTCAAGTTTTGTCCTCATATCTGCACTAGGAGTAAACCCTGAGCATGGTCAGATGTGGCCCCAAGACCAAAATGACATCAAAAAAAAAAAAAAGAAAGAAAGAAAAAGAAAGGTATCTCTCTCTGTAGCAGTTTAATTTCTGACTTTCTGTGACAGTTTCCCTCTTTTGTGTGTACCTTAATGAATAAATATCCAAAGGGATGTGGCTGCAGAATCCTAGGACTTGATTAATATCTAAAACTTGAAAGAGTAGCTACATTTTCTGTCTTTTCCTTGGGTCATTGTTTTCTATTCTTAACCATTTGGTACTTAGGAGCACACCCAAGAGGTAATAGACAATTGCAGGAACAGAAGGAACTACCATGTGTTGTGCAGGTAAGAAATAAGGAGTTGAATTTCCTTAAATCACTTGGTTTGCTAGAAGTCTCAGAGCACTGTGAGGTCCACATTTCTCTGTGGAGGAAATGTACTATTGACTATTTACCCTAAGTGTTTTAAGCTTCTCCAGTGAATTACCCCTTTTTCCTCCACCCTGAGAAGCTTACATTGCTCTTCTCTGAGCATCCCTAATCCCCAGAGTTTATCTTTAACCTTCCCTTTGTGTTTTACCTCTCATTGTCACAGTTCCTAAAGTCAGTCTTGGTTCATTTATAAACCAAGATGTTTTGGTAATTCTGGATTTGTATTTGTAGTGAATTACTTGCTCTTCTATTTCTCCTATAGCCTTTTCATATTTTACAATAGAGCAATGATATTCTTTGCTTAAACACAGAAAAACAGTTGATGCTATGCTGCTAATATTTGGGAGTTGATAATTCTGAAATATGTCGAATCATGGACATCTGTTATAATTACTTAACTCAGGCTGCAGTTGCTTATAGTTCCTAACTCCCCAAAAGGGAGATACTGCTCTGGAATTTAAAAGTCTTCTCTTACTGTGTCTATCCAAATAACTGCAAGTATTAATAATAAGTGGACTTAATTGTTTAAAATGTACAACTTAAGGGAAAGAGAATAGCAATATAGATGTCCCTGGGAGAAAGTGTCTCCTTGAGTTGATCTTCCCAAGAGAATTGCCTCTGCCTAAATGTTTTACCTCTGTAAATAATCAACCACACCTACATGGAGTCCTATACCTAAAACCCTGAACAACAAATGCTCACAGGCAACAAAAACTGAGAACTGGTCTTCAGTAGGAAGCTCACCATGCAGGGGAATGGTGTTCTATGTTCTGGATTTTGAACATATGTTAAGTTCATATGTTCTATAAATATGCTAGCAGCTTCAATTAAAGGGACCATTTTTAACATCTATCAGTGAGTCACCATCTTTTTGTTCCTCTGATGGGGAGACTTGGGAGGACAGGAGGCAGCTCTGGACCATTGAATACATGCTTTGAGCTCTGACACTTTGTGATCTCACAGTGTAGTAAGAGAAACATTAGAGTATGGCTCATTTTGTGAAGGGTAAATAGGAAAAATGTGTTTCTTTTAATTCTCTCAAAAATTTATTTTGACACCATAATTTTTAAAAATGATAATAGTAGAGTGTCATTCATGCATTATTGGAGCACCAGTGTCCATTTCCCTTCAGAAGTGTCCCCATTCCCCTGCATGGTGACTTCCTACTAAAGACCAGTTCTCAGTTTTTGTTGCCTGTGAGCATTTGTTGTTCATTTGCTAGGTTTCTTTATATCCCACATATAAGGGACTGTCATTCTTTTCTGTCTTTTGACTTACTCATCATGATCTTTCCAGATCCATCCAAGGTAGTAGCAAAGTGCATGATTTGCACTCCTGTATTTATTGCAATGCTGTTCCCAGTAGCAGATATCTGAAAACAACCCAAGTGTCCAAGAACAGATAACTAGATACTAAAATTACGGTGCATGGGTGCATGCATGCAATGGAATACTGCTCAGCTATAGAAGAGAGGTAACCATGCATTTTGTTCTTATCAAGTTATTGAGGTCTTACAAATATGAGATGGTTCTCAGATGTTCCCTTGAATGTTCTGGTAACAGGTAACAGGCATCAAGTTAAGATATTTCTAACATCCCCTTCTCCCTGTCATCTTCATGGCAAGATGGTGATCCCCTTGTATTACCAATTTTATACCTGTTTTTCCTAAAGGAATGTCAGTGGGAAAGGACTTGGGGGATGGTAGGTAAGAATAGGTTTTTATTTCTGTGACCATACTGCCATCAAGCGGAATAGTTTTGTCGGTCCAGTGGCATGTCCTGTTATGAATGAGTGGGAAGTGAAAGGGAAAGGGAAAGTTTGGAGCTCTGCAGATTTATCAAGTGGGTGGTGAGGAAACTTAAGCCAAAGTCAGATAGGGCACAACTCTGAGAGCCAATCTCCCTGTGACTTGAGTGTCCTGGAAAGGGATCCTTGGTTCGGACTGTGGAGGCTGCCATGTTGTGGGCGGAACTATGGGCTCTCCCTGGGAAGAGCACCCAGCAGCTGGCTTGGCTGGGGTCTGCTGGCACACTTTTCCCTTTGAGCCACTGCAGTCTGAAAGCACACATGGCATAGCAGAGCCCAGCAGCAGAGAATACTCTGGAGTACACACAGCTCCACTGGTACTTTGACAGACTGGCCTGCAGACTTAACTTGGCTTGATTTCTGGGCCAGGGGATCTGCTCCTAGATCAACCATTTCTGTGTCTCAGTTGTCCCTGGACCCTTTTTCTGCCCGCTGGGCAGATATTTGACTAACGTTTTGAGTTGAGCTTCAGGCTTTTTGTCAGTCTGGTTACTTCC